AGATGCTTATAGAAATTTGATCTTTATTTATTTTCACTCTAAATTAAAGTTTTTAAATTAATAAATACTTCTTCTGTTTCAAAATAATTGTCATTTTTTTACATTTTCCCTAAGTTAAAGATTTAAAACTAACTTATATATTTATTTATATTACCCCTAGATAAAATAAAAATTTTTGTAATAGATTAATTAATCAAAGTAAATGGATAATAATATGGTTAAAGTAAAAAATTTTGTCTACTCTAAAAAAAATAATAATAACAATTAATTTAGATGAACTCAAAATTAAAAAAATAACTATTATTTTAAAACAAAGAGAGTATCAATTAACTTCACCTAAATTTAAGCCATTAATTATAAAATTTTAAATTGAATTCAATATTAAATATTTAAATATTTTCAAATGTTAAGTAGATAACTTTTGATATTACAAAAAAAAAAAAAAAATTATGTTACTTTGGTATTTGGGTATCTGTTGTGTTTGCATCACTTGAGAGAGCATGGCCCAAGAAAATATTCAGTACCTATCGTGGTGGAAAGCATATGGCATATGGGGCATCTCGTCGGCTTTTCCAGCTTTGAAGAGAATGGGCCTGCTTTATTGTGGCCCGGGCTTAATCGAATCTTGGACGCTGAGTATGGATAAACTTAGTAAACTCTTGGGACCCAAAATGACCTTTCCTTCCATTACGATACAGAATTCGGCCTAATTAGAGGTGAGCATTGGGCAGCAGTTAGGTGTACATCCGTTATTTTTAAGTATTTTATTTATTTATATAAGTATTATATATGAATTGTAAATAAATAAGTAAATAATGAGTATGAAAATAATATATTTATAAGTATCAAATTAAGTAATATATATAGGAATTTAGAATTATTTATCTAATCTGTTTAATCGATTTGTTTAACTTGCTCATTACTTATTTGTATAATTGAAGTCTTACATGTAGTTATTATATTTAAAATCTATATGATCACAGTAATTTTTAGAAATAAAAATAATAAAATACAAAAAATAAAAATAAAAGTTAAATAAGCCTTATAAGTTAAATAAATCACATACATAGTAATAACAACTTGTATAAATAATTCAGTCTAACCCAAACACATAATATACGTAGCAATAGTATCTTATATTAGATCTTTTCTTCCTCTAAGTTAAGTACATAAGTACATATTTATAAGTTATTCAATACTTGTGGGGTTAAGTACGTTGTATATATTTTTGAATATTTAGGTAAGTATTAAATTTAAAAAATTATATTTAAAAATTTTTAAATCAGATGATAAATATAACTCATATTTAATTTATTAAAAAAAATGCTCATCCCTAGGCCTAATAGAGTACTCACGATTTTTTATGGCTAATTTTGTATACTTTCACCTGCCCATTAAGCGTTTGTATTGGGGAAGGCTCTTTCGTTGGGCTTTAGATTATGTTTTGTATGGGTTCTATGATTCTATCCACTTGTGCCGCAAGATTAGGGGTACTGTAATTTTCTTGGTACTGAAGGATTTTTGGTAATTGATCATCTTTGTCGATGCCATGCCTACATGAATTTTATTTACGAGGGCCATGCCGTTCTGCCATATAATCTCAAATTAAACAAAAAAAAAAAA